GAGGTGCTAGTGCTGGTCAGGGAGGACAGCAACTTGTGGGTGCGAGCACCGCTCGCGGGGCGCGGCGAGAAGGGGTGGCACGTCAAGCTCGAGGACAGCGACGGCGACGGGTACAGCGACGGCGAGGATCGCCAGTTTGCCGCCCCGATGGTGCTCCCCTTCGATGACGGCGGCGCGGGAGCGCTGCTGCGTGCAGCAGCCGCAGCCGGCCGGCCCGGACTTGTCGAGGCGCTGCTAACGGCCGGCGTCTACATCTTCGAGGCGGATGTGGACGGCAACACGGTCTTCCACATCGCCGCGCAGCACGGGCATGAGGGGGTGTATCGGAAGCTCATGAAGGCTGCCGGGAAGGACGCAGCAGCGGCCGCCTTCACGAAGAATAAGCGCGGGCTGCGCGCATTCGACTGCATGACCACGGGGCACCACGCTAGACTCACCAACTTGCTCCGGCCCGACGAGTGGGCCAAGGACTCGGCGGAGGCCCGGGTTCGTGACTTGTGGAAACTCGCGGGCCGGTCCACGCGCTGGAGGCGGAATGCGGGAGTCCAATCCGCCGAGGGAAAGGCTCTGCCGGATCCGGTGACAGCGCTGCTCCGTGCTGCGGGGCCAGGGACCGTCGAGGAGCTGGCTGAAGCCATCGCCGCCATGGGAGTCGCCTCTGCAGTCGACTCTGCCATCGACTCGACACGGTCGGAGGACTCGCTGACCAGGCCGAGTAGCTCTGCAATCACGGAGCGCGCGACCGTCGACGCCACCCACACCCCTGGCGGGGTCACGGCGCTGATGCTCGCGCTCGGCAACGACTCGTCCCACTTTGCATCGGAGTTGAAGGTGCGCATGCTGCTCAAGGCGCGTGCAAACCCAAGCCTGGCCACGGCCCGCGGCTGCACAGCGCTCACCGTGGCCGCGGAGATTGGCAATGAGCGGATTATTCGCATGCTGCTCGACAAGGGAGCAGAGGTGGATACGGCCATCAAGACCTCGGGCATGACGCCGCTGCTGCTGGCGTGCAAGTTCGGACATGCGGCGGTGGCAGAGGCGCTGCTGGCAAGTCGCGCTGATGTGAACCAGGTGCAGGTTGGGGTGGACGAGTTCCCTCCCATCATGTACGCGTCCATGTACGGACATTCGGCGTGCGTTGACCTGCTCATTCGGGAGGGGGCGGAGGTCAACTACACAAAGAGGGACGGCTTCACCGCTCTGCTGCTCGCCGCAGGCTTTGACCAGCTCACGACGGTCCGGACCCTTGTCCGCGCGGGCGCGGACCTCGAGATGGGCACCAAGATCGATACGAAGGTCTCGAGGGGCTGCACACCGCTGCTGTACGCAGCGCACATGGGCAAGGCGGCGGTCAGCCGCGCGCTGATGCAGCTCGGCGCAGACATGCTGCACCGGGACAAGAGCGGGTGCACGGCGCTGCACTTGGCGTGCAAGAACGGGCACGCAGACGTCGTTAGCGGACTCCTAAAGGGATTCAAGGCGCAGACCTTCGACATCAACGTCAGGACCAACGGCGATGGCCAGCGCAACGTGGGACTACCGCACGGCGAGACGGCGCTGCACCTCGCCGTCAAGAACGGGAGTGCGCGTGTCGTGAAGCTGCTCATCAACGCGGGCGCCAACCAGCGGATGCGTGTCGCGGACGGGCGTGAATCGCCCGACGCCTTTGCGCTTGCCCTGGCTCAATGGCGGCACGCGCCCGACGGCGGCCATTGCTTCATGCAGGTCTGCGAGACTCTGCAGCCGACGCGCGCGCGGATGCTGCGGTTCAACTCCTTGAGCACCGATGCCGACTCGTTCATGCGCGCGCGGCAGTCGCTCACCCCAGCCGACCTCGCCGCCCTACAGCTCGATCTCGTCCGTGCTGGCGTCATCGACGAGAGCGGCCGCCTTTCTGCGGGGTGCGAGGAGGAGGACATCATTTCGACCTTTTTCGTGCGCCTCTCCTCGCCCGCCGACACCACCAGGCAGCCCGACTTGTATGCAGAGAACATGGCCATGTGGCGCGAGAACGCGTCGGGACGCGGCGGCTGCCCGTTCTTGCTCGCGACGTGGGCACCGCGCGCCTCGGCTGGAGGAGGGTCGTCCCCGCCGCCTCGTCGGCGGTCGGCGTCGCTGGCCAGCGAGTACCCAGCGATAGGAGATTTGGGCGTTTGCGCCTCGCTACGGCACCGCTACCTGCTCCTGAACGGCGACGAGGCGGCCGACCCGCAGCTCTTCAACGTGCTCGTCATCGGCAAGAGCATGGCGCTGGCCGGGGACAACGAGACCGAAGCGAGCATGAGCGAGCCGTCCAGCCGCGGACGCCGGATCGAGTCACTCGACCATGCCATCCAGCTGGTCGAGGATATGCGCAAGGAGGCGCACGCTCACGCAGAGCGGTCGGGCTGGTCGGCCAAGGTGCTGCCTGTGCTGCTTCGGGGTCACATTTCGCATATAGCTGCGCCCAACCCTCTTCTCTTGCCGCGTTCCAGGTGGGCCTGTTCTTCGAGGTCTTTCCGCACGCGTCCCTCGACTCGCTCTACCTCCACGTATTCGACATGCTGGAGCCCGGCACGGACCAGCCGGTGGTGCTGCCGGAGGGGCTGCGATCGCGCCTCCTCTCGCTCGACGACGTGCTCTCGTCGCTCGCCCCTCCGGCAGCACGGCGCGCTCCACACCCACCGAGGCGCCACTCGCGGTGTGTGTAGGCGCTGCACGTGCTCCAGGTGGAGCGCAACGTCGAAAAGGCGGCGTGGGTCGACGGGGCCGAGCGCGAGGACTGGCGGATACATGTCGTCTGCGTCTCTCCATCGTCTCAGAATCGGGGCAACCTCACCCTCTCGTGCGTCCGCGAGGTGTACACCGACTTTCCCTCAGTCGTCAACTCGATCGAGGTGGTCCACGACGAGCGCGACGCGGACCGGAAGATCTACGCACCGAGCTTCCTCTTCCACACCATCCCGCGGCCGGCCAGGTCAGACACCAAGTGGGCGGAGGAGCCCTGGGACTCCGTCTGCGCCATCGGCGGCATGTCCGACGAGCAGGGCGCCTCCCTCAAGCGCGTGATTGCAGAGCGTCATTGCCGCTTTGGCATCAACGGCACGCCGGGCTTCAACATCGGCTTCAGCGAGAAGGCGGCCGAGCTGACAAGGTGGCTGCAGGACCGCGCCTCCCAGGCGAACAAGGCGTCGCCACCACAGGCAGCTCAAGGGCTGGTGAGGGGGCAAGGCATCGTGGAGGACGCGTCCGTGGCGCTCGTGGTGAACCTGGAGGAGCACGCCACGTACCTGGGGCTGCTGCCGCGCACCGCGCAGCTCGCCGCCAAGCAGTCGCGCGTCGCCTTCCCGCTGACGGCACGCGGCCGCACCTCGGACGGCGCCGGCTCATACGGCCGCCAGGCGAGCACCGCCGAGACGCCTCTGAGACACACACCCTTGCGAGACACCGGCTCGACCGGCCCTCCCGACGCCCTCGCTCTGGCCCTCCCCAACCCCTCCTTCGCCCACACCCGCCAGTTCCGCGACGCGGAGGAGAGGCCGACGACGCGCGAGCGCGGCTGGTTCATCCGCCTCGCAGAGGCGTACGCGCGCGAGCTGGGCAAGAGCCACCCGGAGAGCGCACAGCGGCTGGCCGAGCTGGCCGACGCGCTGCTCCACGCCGACCTGAGCGCCATGGCAGAGGCCGGCGAGGTCAAGGGCGACAAGGACGAGCTCGGCGCGCTGCTGCAGGTATGCGACGAGTTCGTGCGGCCCGAGGTTGTCGCGGCGATGCACGCGTCGGCCGAGCGGCTCTTCCACATCCTCATCAAGTGCGACGCCGAGGTGGGCGTCGTCCAGTCCAAGATCTACGACGCCAAGCGCGTTTTGCCGATGGCAGCAGCGGGCGCGGGCTGGAGCGCCCTCCCTTCACCACCGGCCGTGGTCGGCGATAGGCTCGCGCTCTCGATGGCGGTGCAGCTGGCGGTCGAGGCGGGCCTCCCCGCGGGTTACGGCGAGTTTGGGCTCGGCGAGCCGGACGAGCGCGGCATGTCGGCCGTGTGCGACCGCCCGCTCGTGCGCGACCTGGTCTTCACTCTCATGTCCCTCCACAAGGACAAGGACAAGGGGCGCTACGTGCCCCAGGACGAGGAGCTGCGCAGGCGGGTGGACGCCGCCCTCAACTGCCTCCAGCGGCTGCCCGTGAGGATGCGGCAGCTCATGATTTGCGACACGGGCGTCGACCCCAACGAGGACGACCTCGTCGCGATCATGATGGTGGCCAACATCAACCTGCTCTGCGAGGGCAAGCTCGACGCCGGATGCGGATCGGGGGGGGCGGGAGGGCCGAGGCCGGGGCCGGTACCCGCAGTCCGGCAGCGGTTCCAGTCCGGTCGGATCTATGAGTCGAAGGGATAGGCTCGGAGCCGCGCAACAGCAGTCAGCAAACACTTTAAGCTCTGTAGAGCGGGCCCCCGCAACAGGAGCAATAAATAAATAATACGGACACCTCTACTAGGAGTAGGAGATGGGGGTCAAATAAAAAAGGAAGACACCGGTCACCGCAGGTCACCGCCCACGTCCCACGTGCGGGGTGCGCGCGGTCATTCATTGTCGTGTTTGTGCTGGGTTCTTCGTAACAGCAAACAGGAGCAGCCGAGGAGGGAGCGCATAAATTCCATAAACTAAAGAATACGAAGCGAAAAACGCACACGCACACAACGACTCTCTCTCTGAGAAAGAAAAGCACCCCTCGTGTGTGCACGTAAAATGCTATGTATCACAGTCTCTGCACAATAATCTTTCGCGTTGAGTCTACAGCGAAGTCCTCCGCGGGAGCAGCAGGGACCAGGGACAATGATCCATGTGGAAGACGGCTAGTGCTAGTCCCCCGGGAGGACGACCCCGGCTAGTCGCCGACCACACCCACAAAGCCGAACCCTGCACGCTGCACAACAAAGATCCACCTCACAGTAGAGAGGTCACGTTTTTATTTATTTATAGCGAAGTCACAGCGATTTCAATCGTCACCGCTCACGCCTGTCAGTCTGCATGGAGCGCGAGGTGCGCAAAGTCGCCCTCGAACTCCTCGAGGTCGCGCTGGCGCGCCGCGCCGTCCGGGCCGTAAGAGCCGAGCCTGGTCTGGGCCCGCTCTAGCCAGCCGTAGAGGAGGGGGCGGCAGCGCTTGTAGGCCAGAGCCCCGTCCACCGCCTCGTACCAGCGCTGCAGGTCGCGCATGCTTGCGGGCCGGAGGCGGAGGACGGTGGTGGCGGGCGGGAAGGCGGCGTAGCCGACGGTGGCGGTGTCTGGCACGGTGACGCGGGTCAGAGAGGAGCAGTCGCAGAAGGCGTAGCCGCCGATGGAGGTGAGGCCGGCAGGGAGGGTGACGGAGGAGAGGGCGGAGCAGCCCCAGAAGGCGAAGTCGCCGATGGAGGTGAGGGTGGCAGGGAAGGTGACGGAGGCGAGGGCGGAGCAGTCGGAGAAGGCGCTGCTTGTGATGGAGGTGAGGCCGGCAGGGAGGGTGACGCGGGTGAGGGAGGAGCAGAGGTAGAAGGCGAGGCTGCCGATGGAGGTGACGCCCTCCGGCACAGTGGCGTGCCCCTGCGCGTCGATTGGAAGCCGTACCGCCCAAACGTTGATGGCCCGCACTGCTGCCTTCGCTTCGTCGTCGAGGGGGCAGTCGAAGAAGGCTCTGTTGCCAATCGAGAGGCCATCGGGCAGCGGCAGCGTGATGGTGGTCAGGGAGGAGCAGCAGGCGAAGGCTTCGTTGCCGATGGAGGTGAGGCCGGCGGGGAGGTCGATGGAGACAAGGGAGGAGCAGCGGTAGAAGGCGCAGCCGCCGATGGAGGCGAGGCTGCGCGGGAAGGCGACCGAGACGAGAGAGGCGCGGAGCCGAAACGCCCGGTCCGGCAGGTGCGTCATGCCTTCGGGCAGCACCGCGTGCCCGTCGGCGACGACGACCTGCCAGCGACCCACCTCCAAAGTCTCGGAGCCGGGCGGCGGCGCGGCGTCAGTCGGCGGCGGCGCTGAAGGCGTCGAGGCGGGCACCACCATCGTGCGGAAAGAACCAGGTTCCCGGTGAGAGCTGGGTGCGCCACCCAAGAGCCTAGGCAGGTGCGCATCGGCAAGAGCGCAATCGATCTTTTTGCCCTCTATCACCTTGGGTTGTAAGAACTTGAAACACACCACGCAGGGGCACAGCAAGCACGGATAGCCGTTGAGGAGACCAAGGGCGTAAGGTGTATGCGCAGCCACGGCCGTGCCGCGGTGGGCGCGCCACCTCCCGCGAGCGCGGCGGGATCGGAATTGCGGCCGGAGGGAAGGGCGAGCCGCCGCCGCCGCCGCCATATACCATCAGCGACGACGACCGCGGCTCGCCCCAAACGCCAGGCGCTGGATCGGCAGTAGGGCTTGGGCGGCGCAGCGTAGGCCTCGAGCCATACGAGTCGCCGACAACCCCCCTTCATCGACGTGATGGCCGCACCCGCTGCCGGCCGATGCAAGCTGCCGCCTCCACCGCACCAGCGATACTGGCCGCGGCTCGCCGCCACGCGCCGGCTCGGAAGAGGGGCTATCGGCGGCGCAGCAGAGAGCGGCATGCGTCGTCATTCGAGCAGCACCAGGTCCCCTCTTCGACGTGACGGCCGCTCCCGGAGCCGGCCGGTGCGCGCCCGACCCACGCCCCCCCTCGCACCCCCCCGACCCCCCTGCGCGGCGCCCCCTTCCACTGCGCGCCGGCTCGAGCGCCTATTGCCAAATCGCGACTTTCGAGCGCAGTGCACGCGCCCCACACGTCACGCGAGCGCAGGAGAGTTTGCGGCAGAGCAGTACCGTGTACTAGCCGGAGGCATCGCGCCGAAAACCCCGCGCATTCCGCCCCAACAGAGGCTGAAGGAGGCAGATGTCGTTTAGCGACAATCGTTACGAAATGTAGCGTCACCGGGAGCTCTCCAAGCTGTCTTGGTGGTATTGCACGTTCGCATCCCCTCGAGCCTCGTCCATGTCCATGTCCATGTGTTTTGTGTATTTTTGAAAAAGAAATTTGTGGGCGCTGTGCTCATCCCTACCTTTTCTCTCTTTTATTTCTTTCTTTTATCTGATATTGCGGCGCGGGCCACGACCTAAAAGTTGAGAGGGCCTCGCCCCGCCGCCGTCACCGCCTGCAGCGGCAAGCCGTCAAAGCGGCGGGGGTCGCACAAGTCGGCTAGGAAGCAGCCGGCGTGGCCCGGCTCGAGCAGCATAAGTAGCCGCCAGACCACGTACTCGAAGAGGCCGCGCCACTTCTCCGGAGCCACACCGCGAGGGCGGCTCGCCTAAGGTAAGGTAGGGTTCGGTGGCAGGGTAAGGTAGGGTAAGGCAGGCTTCTGCCAGCTGGGCTTCTCCACACACACGAGGTGGTGGGGCAAGGGCCAGGCGGGGCCCTCGCGACTCCACGTCTAGACGACAGGAGCCCCACGGCATTAGAAGCGCAAGGCCCAGTGTGTGAGCGGTGTGAGTGTGAGTGAGTGAGTGAGTGAGTGAGTGAGTGAGTGAGTGAGTGAGTGAGTGAGTGAGTGAGTGAGTGAGTGAGTGAGTGAGTGAGTGAGTGAGTGAGTGAGTGAGTGAGTGAGTGAGTGAGTGAGTGGGTGGGTGGGTGGGTGGGTGGGTGAGTGTGTGTGTGTGTGTGTGTGTGTGTGTGTGTGTGTGTGTGTGTGTGTGTGTGTGTGTGTGTGTGTGTGTGTGTGTGTTTGAGGGGGGGAGTGGGCGGTGTGAGTGCGCAGCTCGCCTCCATCTTCGGCCACGCGGCGCTCCCCTCCTCCTCGCCTGCGGGCAGGCCGGCCGCCGCCGCGTCCACCTGAGGGAGGGTGTAGAGGATGTAGAGCTGTAGAGCGCTGTAGAGCGCTGTAGAGCTGGAGAGCGATGTAGAGCGCTGGAGAGCTGTAGTGCTGGAGAGAGCTGGAGAGCTGGAGAGCTGTAGAGCTCTACATCCGGCGCGTGACGAGGCGATGCAGATGCTGAGTGCAGATGTAGAGCTCTACACCCTCCCTCAGGCGGCCACCTGCGCGCGCAGCCCGCGGAAGAATGCGGGCACCGCGCGGCCGGCGTCGCCAAAGCTGTCTGCGACGAGGTACTCGAGCTGGCGCGCGAGCTCGACGCGCAGGGGCGGACCGAGCGGCCACTCGGGAGAGAGGATCTGCTGCATGGCCGAGTACCTGCCACGGCGCGCCGGGCAGGTCAGGCACAGGAGGGAGAGTGGCTTCGCGGGGGTGGTGGAAGCACCCTACAGCGGCCGGCTGACTGACTGAAGCGATCACTTCGCGCGCGCCGTGGCGGCGTGAGCGACGGCGCGGGACCAAAAGGTTGAGCAAGACGGCGAGCGATCTCGAGTGATCTCGAGTGATCTCGAGTGATCTCGAGTGATCTCTGGCCATCTCGGGTCATCTCGGGTCATCTCAGGTCATCTCGGGTGGTCTCACCAAAAGTTGAGCGAGACAGCGAGCGCGCCGGCGGGGACGGGACCGGTCGTCACCTCGTGCGACCAGTACGCCGGCGGGTGATCTCGAGTGATATCGTGTGATCTCGGGCGATCTCGGGCGATCTCGGGTGATCTCGGGCGATCTCGGGTGATCTCGGGCGATCTCGATGATCTCGGGTGATCTCGGGTGATCTCGGGCGACACCTAATGCCACCAGTACGCCGGCAGCACGGCTATATCTCGGCTGTATCTCGGCTACATCTCGGCTGTATCTCTCACCTCGTGCCACCAGTACGCCGGCAGGAACAGGATCTCGCCCGGCTGCAGCGTCACCTGCCACACCACCCACACTGGGTTCGGTACTCTGGAGGTAGGGTACAGGAGGTCGCCCGGCTGCAGCGTCACCTCGACGCCGCGCGCGTCGTCGCAGCGCGGCGGAAGCGCCTGCGCCGAGCGGTCCGTGCGGTGAGATGTGGGTGAGATGTGGGTGAGATGTGGGTGAGATGTGGGGAGATCTAGCTTCGCCTGCGCCGAGCGGTCCATGCGGTGGTGCACCGGGTAGGGCGCCAGCCTGCCGCTCTGGCTGGGGTCGAAGAGGCGGAAGGTCTTTGTACCCGCGAGCTGCAGGTAAAAGTTGTCGTACTGGTCAAAGTGGAGCCTGCGTGGTGAGGGCGCCGGCATGAGGGCGGGGAGGCGGCATTGTGCAGAGTCTTCAGAGCACCGCGTGAGGACGAGGGGGGTACGAGTACGGTGACCCCCGCTGAGTGCGTGTCCTCTCGGGCGCTAGGAGGGAGACAAAGAACACGTGCTCCGCTTCTAGGGAGTGGAGCCGTGTGCGCGCGCCGCCCGTCGCCGCGCTGCCGACGAACAGCTGGCAGACAGTCCACGCCCCGACCCTCGCGGCAGCCTCGAGCGCGCGTAGCCGCGCGAGCCGCAGCGAGGAGAGGTCGGCAGCCATGGCGGCGCCGAGCCGCGGCGTCGGCGCGAGAGTCGGCACGCCTACCGCACCACCCACGGGACTGAACCCACACCGGGTTCGGTACTCTGGAGGTGTGGTACTAGGCGCGCCGTAGCCGTGCCGGTGTGCCGGCGGCGGCGGCGGCGGAGAGTGCGGCGCCGCCTCTGCAGCTCCCGCCCCGGCGGGGCGCAGGAGGGGGTGCTGCAGGTAGAGGCAGCGGCCCGCGGCGGCGTGCGCGGGGTCGAGGAAGGCGGCGAAGGGGAGGTTGAGCTGGGCGACGTCGGGCCTACGCACGGGTGCAGGTGTGAAGAGACGCCGTTCGCGGCTCCCCGTTGAGCTGGGCGACGTCTGGCCTCTCGAAGCGGTAGTCGGCGAGGACACGGTCTGAGCCGGCGGCGGTCGCCTGCGAGAAGGTGCAGCTGAGGTGCAGCCAAGGTGCAGCCAAGGTGCGGCCGAGGTGCGGCCGAAGTGCGGCCGAAGTGCGGCCGAAGTGCGGCCGAGGTGCGGCCGAGGTGCGGCCGAGGTGCGACCGAGGTGCGGCCGCAGCAGAGACGAGAGATGTAAGGAGAGATGCGGCTGAGGTGCCGCCGGGCTGCAGTCAGCTGCCTGTCGCCTGCGCCAGCGTCGCAAACTTGCGGCCGGGCAAGAAGTAGGCAAACTCCTTGGTCTGCGCGGGCGCAGACAGCACGTGGCAGCTCACCTGGAGACGGGTGGAGAGGGAGGTGGCGCGGAGGTGCAGGGTGTCGCGTTGCTGAGGTGCAGAGCGGGTGGTGACAGAGTCGAGGAGCAGAGCGGGTGGTGACAGAGGGAGAGAGGGAGAGAGGGAGAGAGACGAGCTGCGAGACGCGGCTCGCCTCGCCGAGGCCTTCGGCGAGGTAGGCGGGCTCGCCCCACTTGTCCTGTGCGGCGGGCCACAGCCTCGCTCCCTCCAGGACGAAGCACGTCCGAGCAGCAAGCAGTCGTGCGGCGGCAGCAGGCACCCCATCTCCGCCCTCGGGCCAGCGCACGCGGCTGAGCTGGCCCGTCACCCGCCCGCTCTGACCCGCGGCGCGCCAGCCCTCCGTCGCGACGGCCGCGGTGCCGGCTCCACCGCCAGCCTTCTCGTCGGCAACCGCGCCGCCGCCGTCGTGCGGCGAAACCTCAAACGCGTATGGCGGAGCGTCGTATGGCTCGCTGTTACCGCCGCGCTGCGAGTGCCGCCGCCTTGCGGCAATGTCAGCCGGGCTCAGAAGCCAGAGCCCGCCGCTGCGCGACGCAGCCTCGGGCGTAAGCGTGAACCCACCCTCCCGCTCCCAGTGCTGGCTGACCACCTCGAGGGCGGCCGCGAGCCCGGTCGCGTCGCTACAGCGCAGCGCCACACGAAGCGCCGCGTGCAGGGTCAGGGGAGCTTCTGGGAGCGGTACTCGGCAGGGGCGGACGCGCCAGGCGTGCCGGTCGCAGGAGCGCGAGCAGCAGCGCGAGCGGGGCGCCATCGAAGGGAGAAAGCCGGCACCTTTATTTTTCTTTTCTTTTTTATTTTTCTTTAGGTGTATTCCATGTAGTAGAAGAGATTTCTTGGCTTTCAAAAATCTCATCTACTACGACTCGAAGTGGTCAAGAAAGCGAAGTGCGTAAAGAAAATATTTTTGAGAAAAGAAAATCCCCATGCACCGCATGATGCCGGCCTCCCACTGGGCCTCCAGCGGTGCCGCTCGTCGGCGGCGCCGAAGGCGTCGAGGCACGAAGACTTTGGACGTGGGCGGCTGGCAGGTCGTCGTCGCCGACGGGCACGCGGTGCTGCCCGAAGGCATGACGCACCTGCCGGACCTGGCGTTCCAGCGCGCCTCTCTCGTCTCGGTCGCCTTCCCGCGCAGCCTTGCCTCCATCGGCGAAGGCGCCTTCCACGGCTGTTCCTCGCTCGTCTCCATCGCCCTCCCCGCCGGCCTCACCTCCATCGGCAGCCACGCCTTCGCCAGCTGCTCCGCCCTCGTCTCCGTCACCCTCCCTGCCACCCTCACCTCCATCGGCGAGCAAGCCTTCTACCGCTGCTTGTCTCTCACATCCGTCACCTTCCCCGCCGGCCTCACCTCGATCGGCGAGCAAGCCTTCTACGGCTGCTCCTCCCTCGGCTCCGTCTCCCTCCCCGCCAACCTCACCTCCATCGAAGACTGCGCCTTCTCCGACTGCTCCTCCCTCGTCTCCGTCACCCTCCCCGCCAGCCTCACCTCCATCGGCAGCCACGCCTTCTGGGACTGCTCCGCCCTCACCCGCGTCACCTTCGCTGCCAGCCTCACCTCCATCGGCGACGAAGCCTTCTACCTCTGCTCCGCCCTCTCCTCCGTCACCTTCCCCGCTGGCCTTACTACCATCGGCAGCCACGCCTTCTACCTCTGCTCCTCCCTCACCCGCGTCACCGTGCCAGACACTGCCACGATCGGCGCCCACGCCTTCCTGCCCGCCACCACCGTCCTCCGCCTCTCGCCCGCAAGCATGCGCGACCTGCAGCGCTGGTACGAGGCGGTGGACGGGGCTCTGGCCTACAAGCGCTGCCGCCCCCTCCTCTACGGCTGGCTAGAGCGGGCCCAGACCAGGCTCGGCTCTTACGGCCCGGACGGCGCGGCGCGCCAGCGCGACCTCGAGGAGTTCGAGGGCGACTTTGCGCCGCTTGTAGAGTGACAGTTTGTCACGTGTGCCATGTTGAGCGCGGGGCTGCTGCGCCTGCGGCGTCGTGTGAGCTGATCGTTGTGTGTCGACCTTTGGGACGACCTGTCGCCCGCGGAGTACACGGACGTCTGGCCTCTACCGCTCTAGCTGGGACGAACACGACTCACGAGGTCACGAGCAACCCCCGATGTTTTTATTTATTTTCGTTTTCGAATATTAAACCGCTTTGGGAGATTTGGGCGCTTAGAGGGGACACCCCTAGGCTTAAAAGGGTGGGCCCTGGGGCGCCTGCGGCTTAAACGGCTTAAAACTTGCCATGGCAAGTTTTAAGAGCTGCTGGGCCGCCAATTCCTTAATCGGTCTTAAACGCTTAAACGGTGCGGGAGAGCTCCCGAGGTCGATGGTCCGGGAGGCTCCCAGTAGACACGCCGGAGGCCGGGAAGCTGGCTACAGTCAGCTAGCACGTCCCCTATGCGAGTATGGCTCCTGCCAGTGCACCAGACTTACAGATGTGTCTTCAGAGCCGAATAACGGCAGTATTGGAGAAACCGGCGCGGAACCCAGCGACGCGTGCCGGGGTGAGGCCGATTTTCTTAAACGGTCTCTTAAAAGAGGCTAGAGGGACCCCCCGTGCCTGCAATCTCTTAAATGGCAAGTTAAGCCCCCAAACCTCCTCATTTCTTAAAAGGTCTTAAAAAATCCGGCCCTCAGGACCCTAGGGGTCCCCTAAGTTTGGGCGATTGGGCCCCGGGGCCACTCCCACTAGCACTAGCAGTGTAGCACTGCGAGACAGGATCAAAATACCACACACATATACGTCAGTAGCTGTTTCCTGTTAGCTCGATAGCTTCAGATCGTGAAGAAGTGCAGGCTTCTCCGGGGACAGCAACGTCAAAACGCCTCTCAAACCTCATGTGGCCGCCTCGCCGCCGGGGCCGGAGGGGCCGGAGAAGGCCGCCGAGGCGAACTTCTCGATGATGAGGCTGCTCGCCATGACGGCGGCCCCGGCGAAGAAGGCGGCCACGACGCGGCTGCGCGGCACGCCTCGCTCCGCGTACGCGGAGGGGAGGAGCTCCGACAGGCAGACGTAGGTCATCATGCCTGCCGTCAGGCCGAACATGCCGCCAAAGGCGCCGGTGGACGAGTGCTCGTTTGCGACCAGCGAGGCGAGCAGCGCGCCGAATGGCTCCGACATGCCGGACAAGCTGCCGAGCGCGACGGCGCGGGCGCGGGAGCCGGTCGCGTGGTAGACGGGCATCGCGACGGCGAGCCTAGTACCATACCCCCGATGGTATCGAACCCAGTGCAGTCCCGTGGGTGGTGTGGTGTCACGCGCCCCTCCGGGATGTTGTGCACGGCGATGGCGGCGGCGAGGGGCAACCCCGAGGAGACGGAGTGGAAGGAGGCGACGTAGGTTGCCTGCGCACACAAGGCCGCGAGGCTCGCGTCCAGAGGCGACGGACCCCCAGGGCGGGGGTGCGCGGTGGGGAGGGCGGCTGCGGCGGTGGAGGGGCGAGGGCGGGGGTGAGGGCGGGTCTTAAGGGCGGGGGTGAGGGCAGGGGGGCGGCGTCGGGGGCTGCGATGGTGGGAGGAGGGGCGTGCGAGAGGGTTGCCATGCCCTCCGGGATGTTGTGCAGCGCGATGGCGGCGGAGATGACCACCTACCGCACCTCCAGAGTACCGAATCCAGTTTCCCTCTCGTGGGTGGTGCGGTAGGAGGCGCCCCACCACCATCGCGAGCAGCCTGTTCATAGGAAGTGGCTAGGAAGTGGCTAGGAAGTGGCTAGGCAGTGTCTAGGAAGTGTCACCGCCATCGCGAGCAGCCTCTTCCGCTCGGCGCGCGACGCATCCCCGGCGAGCCGTCGGCCGACCGCCTCGATGGCCGCCGCCTACCGCACCACCCACGAGACTGAACCCACACTGGGTTCGGTACTCTGGAGGTAGGGTAGATCGCGGCCGCCTCCTCGTCGTGGTCGTCCGGCGGGTGGAGCGGGCGGAGCCGGCCCCCCACCAACTCCTCGTCGCCGTGCTCCCCTGCAGGCAAGGGAGATATGGGGGAGATATGGGGGAGATATGGGGGAGATATGGGGGAGATATGGGGGAGATATGGGAGGAGCAGTCGAGCTCTGGGCGCGAGGTGGGTCGTCCTCCAGGAGATATGGGGGAGATATGGGGGAGATATGGGGAGATATGGGAGGACGCGGCCCCGCGGGTGAGGCAAGGCGCTGCCGCCGACGAGCCTCCCTCCCGCCCCCGCGCTGGCAGCCATGCAATGTGTGCTTTGGGCGCCGGCCATGGAGTGCGCGCTGTGAGGGCAGCTAGCCATGCGCTGCATGGGCTTTTGAGGGCAGCCACGAGACGACATGTGTGTGCTCTCGGGGCGGCGGCATGAGAGGTGTGCTATGGGAATGCGAGGGAGAAGCGCTGCCGTTGTCTCCGAGCCCGTCTCCGGCGGCGGCGGCGGCGCCGAGGGCGCGGTGGACGCAGTTGTCGATGAGTGCCATCAGCGCGGCGCCCGCGAAGAAGGAGAGGGTGGCGAGGGCGGCGGCGGAGGCCTCGGAGCGCGATTTGGCAAAGTACTCGCTCGAGACGGCAATCACCTGCAGAGAGGGGGGGGGTGTGCGAGGGCGGCTCGGAAGAGGCGGCACACCTCCCCACTCCTCTCGACGAGGGGGACGTAGATCCTCACCCCGGGATCAAAGGAGTAGGCACTGAGTACGAGAATAGGCACTGAGTACGAGTGAGTGGCATCGCCGCAGCTCGCCTCGACGAGGGAGACGTAGATCATCACTCCGGCGGAGAAGGAGAGCGTGCAGGCCAGCAGCGAGCGGTTGAGCGAGGGGGTGAGGCAGACGAGGCAGGCGCCGATCCCGGTGGACATGCCTGCGAAGGGTGGGTTCGGGTACCGTGGGGGTAGGGGAGGGTGGGTTTGGGTACCGTGGGGGTAGGGGAGGGCGGGTCTGGGTAACCGTAAGGGGGAGGGGACGGTGGGTTCAGGTACCGTGGGGAGTAGGGGAGGGTGGGTCTGGGTAACCGTGGGGGAGGGGAGGGTGGGTTCGGGTACCGTGGGGGGTAGGGGAGGGTGGGTTCGGGTACCGTGGGGGAGGGGAGGATGCATGCCGCTCTCTCTCCACACCCTCGGCTGCCCCTCTCCACACCTCCTCGGCTGCCCCTCTCCACACCTCCTCGGCTGCGATGCCCCTCTCTCCACCCCCTCGGCTGCCCCTCTCTCCACCCTCTCGGCTGGATGCGTGCCGGCGCCGAGCGAGACTGCAAAAGCGCGCGCAAAGTGCGACGTCATGCCGCTGCCCGCGAGGCAGAGCACGCCTGCAGCTGATATAATGTAATATAATTATAAACAAATCATACAACGTCATGCCGCTGCCCGCGAGGCAGAGCACGCCGGCCGCCGAGAGCAGGCAGCAGCAGCAGCCCGCGGCGGCGGCGGCGGCGGGCGGCTGCGAAAGCGAGTCTCGCGCCTAATCTCGGGTAATCTCGGGTAATCTCGGCGGGCGGTTGCGACAGCGAGTCTCGCGCCTAATCTCGGGTAATCTCGGGTAATCTCGGCGGGCGGCTGCGACAGCGAGTCTCGCGCCTAATCTCGGGTAATCTCGGGTAATCTCGGCGGGCGGCTGCGACAGCGAGTCTCGCGCCTGCGTGTGTGTGTGTGTGTGTCCAGAGCACCGCGTGAGTACGAGGGGCTGCGAACACAGTGGAACAGCGGAACACAGCCGAAGACGTGTCCGCTCGAGCGCTAGTTTTGGAAGACATGACACGTCTTCCGCTTCTAGGCTCCGTGCTGCCAGATACGGGGAGATACGGGGGGGATATGGGGAGATCTTCCGCTTCTAGGCTCTCGCGCCTCAAAGGCCCGCACTCCGGGCGGGGGCGCCGCGCCTAAGGTAGGGGAAGGGAAGGTAGAGAGGGGGGGCAGCCCTCGCGACTCCACGTCCAGAAGGCAGGAGCCCCACGGCATCAAAAGTGCAAGGCGCGGTGCGCGCGCCTCCGACCGGCAGCAGCGGCTCGTGAGGGGAGAGCGACGTTGGAAGGGTGAGTCGCTCCGGACGCCGAGGACCTGCGGGCGAGGGCGGCGGGCGTCGCTGCGCTGCGCGCTCGGCGGGGCGGCGCACTCTGAGCGGTGTGGTGGTGGTGGTGGAGGAGTCGTGTCTCACGCCGTTGAAGCCGCGCCCACGCTCGCGGCGCGCGGAAGTGTAGTGGCGTGCCGGCCGCCCCGCCGGGGCTCTCCCCAGATGCTGCGCGGCCAAGATCAGGGCTCCACAGCCCGACCGCAGCCACGGGTCCGAGGACCGTGGCCGCGAATAAGTCGTTGACAGTTCTCGGGCGAGGGCGGCACTCGATGTGCGGCGGTGCGCCGAGGCCGCGGCGCATGAGTGGCGCCGCGGCACGGATGGCATCGCCGGGAGAGGGGGGTATCAGGTGCGTGGCGTGTTGTGTTGCAGGGGTGAGGCACCTTCTCGCGCCGGCGAAAGATGCTCGTGTTTCTTTCTTTGAGCTCAGCCTTCGATGTTATGAAACAACGCAAGGCGGACATGGCATATCGCTCTCGGGCCCACAGACATCCCGCACACTCGCCGCACACCCGCCGCCCCCGCGCGCCCCGGCACAATTTCTTTGTTTCCGCACGATGGTGGTGCCCGCCTCGACGCCTTCTGTGCCGCCAAGCAACGCCGCGCCGCCTCCCGGGTCCGAGACTCTGGAGGTGGCTGGCTGGCAGGTCGTCGTCGCCGACAGGCACGCGGTGCTGCCCGAAGGCATGACGCACCTGCCGGAGCGGGCGTTCCGTGGCCGCGCCTCTCTCGTCTCGGTCGCCTTCCCGCGCAGCCTCGCCTCCATCGGCAGCAGCGCCTTCGAGGACTGCTCCTCGCTCGTCTCCATCGACCTCCCCGCCGGCCTCACCTCCATCGGCGACGAAGCCTTCTACGGCTGCTCCTCCCTCGTCTCCGCCGCCTTCCCCGCCAGCCTCACCTCCATTAGCGATCACGCCTTCTTCCGCTGCTCCTCGCTCGCCCATGTCACCTTCCCCGCCGGCCTCACCTCCATCGGCGACGAAGCCTTCTACGGCTGCGAGGCCCTCGGCTCCGTCACGTTCCCCGCTGGCCTCACCTCCATCGGCGAGGGCACCTTCTACCGCTGCTCCGCCCTCTCCTCCGCCTCCTTCCCCGCCAGCCTCACCTCCATCGGCAAGCGCGCCTTCTACTACTGCTCCGCCCTCTCCTCCGTCACCTTCCCCGCCGGCCTTACTACCATCGGCGGCTACGCCTTCTACGGCTGCTCCTCCCTCATCTCTGTCACCCTCCCCGCTGGCCTCGTCTCCATCGGCAGCTGCGCCTTCGAGGGCTGCTCCGCCCTCTCCTCCGTCACCTTCCCTGCCAGCCTCACCTCCATCGACGACTACGCCTTCCACAGCTGCTCCTCCCTCGCCCGCGTCACCGTGCCAACCACGGCCACCCTCGGCTACACGGTTTTCGACCCTAAGACCACCGTCCTCCGCCTCCCGCCCGCAAAGATGCGCTGGTACGAGGCGGTGGACGGGGCTCTGGCCTACAAGCGCTGCCGCCCCCTCCTCTACGGCTGGCTAGAGCGGGCCCAGACCAGGCTCGGCTCTTACGGCCCGGACGGCGCGGCGCGCCAGCGCGACCTCGAGGAGTTCGAGGGCGACTTTGCGCACCTCGCGCTCCATGCAGACTGACAGGCGGCGTGAGCCGTGCGACGATTGAAATCGCTGTGACTTCGCGGTAGACTCAACGAAAGAATATGCAGACTCGTCTCAGACTGATCATTTACTTTTTCTCAAGTGCTCAAGGTGAAGAGGTGTGCCCGAGGGTCAGCCGGAGATTCCATCCTGTGACACGCCGAAGGGAAGCTCGCCGACCCTGAGCTCATGGCGGCAGCTTCAGTCCTCTTCTCCGCCGCGTACGCGCCAGCGCATCGCATCGGTGCCGTGCCAGCGCTGCGCCGCCCGCTGGCCGCTCGCGTGCCACCAGCGCTCCTCGACGGCAGCGCGGAGGATGGTGCCGCATTCTCAGCCGCCGCGCAGCTCGGGCGAGAGCCTGGGACGTGCGACCCATACGACCCCAAAAGCGCCGAGTACTGCTCTCCTCCAGAGCCTGCGCCGTCCTCCCTGAAGCGCACCATCCGGCTCGGCGTTCTCTTCTTCCTCTGGTACTCGCTAAACACGGTCCGCACCCCGCCCGCCCTCCGGCCGGTTCCAGCGCCGGTGCCGGTGGGTCCCGGTTCGCGCTCATGCCGCTCGTGCCGCGTCCTCAGGCCTACAATATCGGCAACAAGCTCGTGCTGACGGCCTTTCCGATGCCGTGGACCGCCGCGACTTGGGAGGCACGGCCGCAAAAAGACACGCGTACAAACAGACACGCGGCAGAGCCTCTCTCCTCCGCCCGACGCAGACGGAAAGCCCATCACCCACTATCACCTGCGCCGCCACCGCTCTTCCTCGGCTCCCAATCCTCTCAGCACTGCTGAGAGCCGTCTCTTCTCCCCGCAGCTCTTCTTTGGCTTCCCGTACGTGTTTCTTCTCTGGAGCACTGACCCTAACCCTAACCCTAACCTAACCCTAACCCTAACCCGCAGCTCTTCTTTGGCTTCCCGTACGTGTTTCTTCTCTGGAGCACGGGGCTGCGCAAGACGCCAAAGATCTCGCTCGAGTCGATCAAGCTGCTCGCGCCGTCGGGCATCCTGCTGGCCGACACGCAGGCCGTACTTCTCTTGCGACATCATACTTCTTTTTCTAGGCATCCTGCTGGCGGGCACGGTGCACGGTGTTTCTTTTTCTACGGCGGCGTAGTTCTTGTTTCTAGGCATCCTGCTGGCGGGCACGCACGTCGGCGGCGTCATCTCGTTCGGCCTGGGCGCGATCTCCTTCACGCACGTGCTCAAGGCAACCGAGCCGGTCTGGTCCGCCCTCATCTCTGCGCGCGTCTCCCGCGGCGCTGCCCGCCGCCGGCACGCGGGCCGGGACGGAGCCGAGAGATGGTCCGGGCGTAGGCGCTCTTCTTCCGCGACTTTCTGCCGCTGCCCGTGTACGCCTCCCTGGTCCGCGTTGCCCGGCTGTCGAGCCAGAGAGCCGCGAGCCGTCTCGGAGCCTTCTCGGAACCTTCTCGGAACCCACTGCCTCGAGGTGCCAATCATCGCCGGCGTCAGCCTCGCTTCGCTCAAGGAGCTCAGCACATCTCCCCATATCTCCCCATATCTCCCCATATCTCACCATGTCTCGCCTCGCTCAAGGAGCTCAGCATCTCTCCCCATATCTCCCCACATCTCCCCATATCTCCCCATATCTCCCCATATCTCACCATGTCTCGCCTCGCTCAAGGAGCTCACCTTCTCGTGGATGTCCTTCATCGCTGGCACCGGCTCCGCGGTGACGTCCGCCGCCAAGGCCGAACCTTCTCGGAACCTTCTCGGAAGCTTCTCGGGACCTTCTCGGAACCTGCCCAGGTGACGTCCGCCGCCAAGGCCATCCTCTCCAAGAAGGTGCACAGCGGGAGGCGCGGGAGGCGCGTCCCTCGCAGCTGCCATGACCCTTCTCGGAACCTTCCTCTTGCAGGTGCTCGACGGGAAGTCGCTCGGGGAGAACCTCACGCCCGCAAACATGTTCGCCGTGCTCTCAATCCTCGGCGCGCGCACCCCACCTTCCCCTACCTCCCTATGGAGCCGAACCCACCTCTAGTCGGCAAGCGGCTCACCACTCCGCAGTGATGCTCTACTCTGCTCCTCCCGCCTCTGGCGCATCCCTCGCCCGCCTCTCCCTCCCCTTGCTCCCGCCCCCTCCTCTTGAGCCTCGTCGCCCGCCGGTGACCGCGCGCGCACGCGTCGCAGGCTTCTGTGCGATCCTCCCCGTCTCACTCGCCCTCGAAGGCCCAGCCAAGGCCTCCGCCAGCTGGTCGGCCCGCGCGCTGTGTTTCTTTCTTTAACGCGGGTGTGTTTCTTTTTCTAGGCCGCCGCCGGCGTGGTCGGCCGCCCTCTACTGTGAACGGCGTCTCTTCACACCCGTAGCTGTGAACAGGCCTCGGCGGCGTGGTCGGCCGCGCTCGCCGCCGGCTACACGACGCCCTACCTGCTCAAGCTGCTCGCCTGCTCGGGCTTCCTCTACTACATCTACAACGAGGTACCCTTCCCCTGGCAGCCCTAGCGGCGGGCCTGGGCCGAGGCCAGGGGGTGGGTGGGTGGGGGGAGGGGGGTAGGGCTGCATGCGCGGAGCGGAGCGGACTCCCTCACAGTGGTGGTTGACTACCACGAGGGCATGCACATCTCCCCCACATCTCCCCCACATCTCCCCCACATCTCCCCCACATCTCCCCCACATCTCCCCCACATCTCCCCCACATCTCCCCCACAGGTGGCCTTCCTCGCGCTCGCCGAGGTTGCGCCCGTCACCCACGCCGTCACAAACACCGTCAAGCGCGTCGTCATCATCCTCGCCTCGATCCTCGTCTTCAAGACCACGATCACGCCGCTCGGCGCCGCGGGGTCGGCGATCACCGTCGCGGGCGCGCTGCTGTACGCGCTGGCCAAGAACAAGTACAAGTAGAGCGGAGGCGGGCGGCTCGCGGGAGCGCACCGGTCGACCCATCTCCGACTGAAGAGAGAGGGTACTTCTGCAGCTGCGCTCAACCAGCCGCTCTCCCACGCCGCGGCGTCGGAGTGGGTCATGTGACAACCCGCCGCACACTCGGGGCACGCACCTCTCTTTCGCCGCCGCCCTGCGCTTTGGACCACAACGAACAAACAACTGCCCCGGACCTCCTGTCTTATTGATGTTGTAGCTTATACTGTTGTGCGGGTCCCTGCTCCCTCACATGCGCAACCACATGTCTAGAGAGCGAAGATGTATTTTACCAGCCCACACTAGTTCTCTTCCTACTTCCACCTGGTGGTCGCGTGGTGCGATGCCGATGAGCCGATGGGCTCCCTCCCGCGCGGGGAGATGTGTCAGCTCGCTGCCAGCCCTCTGTAGCATCAGGTGCAAAGCCTCGAGGGCGGCAACGCCGGACGGTACAGCTGCTCGACGTCCGCCCCGGCCGGCGCCGCCACCGTGCTCAGCACAGGCACGGGCCACGCCTCCCTCGTCGCCGCCCCCTCTGCCTTCGCGGCTGCCGCGTTGTGACGTCCCGTCGGCTCCGCGGCTCGCGCGCTGCGCCGCCCGGCCGCTCGCAAGGAGGGATGCCCCACGCCCCACCCACGTCAACGGGTTGGGCATCACACACGGCTCTCGCGTGCTCGCGACGCCTAGGATGGCAACGCACCAGGCTGCAATCGGGACGCTCCGGGCCGGGGTGGCAGCCGGCGCGTCGCCTGGCGCCCGCTGGCCGCCTCCCTCGAACGCCTACAATACCAACACGCGAACTCACTCTTCAGCGTCGCGCCGGCCTCTTCCGCGGCCGGGCGAGGTGGCGGAACCTGCGGGGCCGAGCCCGCTCCGTCCGAGCGCCCCCACCGCCCGCTCCGCCGCGCCCGCACGCGACGGCGAGAGCGCTGCGACCTGAGGGAGGGTGTAGAGGATGTAGAGTGTAGAGCGCTGTAGAGCTGTAGAGCTGTAGAGCGCTCTGGAGCGCTGTAGAGCTGTAGAGCTCTACATCGGGCGCGGGACGAACTGCGTGCGTTGTAGAGCGATGTAGAGCGCGATTTTGCTGTAGAGTTTGTTGTAGAGGCTCTACAGCCAAACCGCGGGAAGGCAGTGACTCAAAGAGGTCGAGCCGCGCTAATGGGGTGTCTCCGAGCTTACTGGAGCTCTGATGGACGGCCCTGACTATCCCTGACACACAGATAGTCACTCTGACGGCACACAACACCCTATAACTGCGTCATGACCAGCCTGCCATGCGTCGCCGGTGCCGCATTCGTCGCTGTGCTTCTTTAGCAGGCGGTGGACTGTCGGCTGCGAGGACGGTCGCATTTGCGCGAGGCGAGGCGAGCATTGCTGCGCGTTGCATGCGCCATGCCTCGCGCCAGCGCGTGCGGGAGCTCCTGGCTGAGCGTTGAGTCCAGGTGAGTTGCGCTGGCCACTATCGCTACACCGAGCCGAGCTGACGTGCCGAGGCGCCGGCCAGTCGCAGCCGTGAGGCATGCCACAGCAGCAGAGGCACCTGCCACCCATTGGGCGGGCAGACAGAAGGCCAGGGCAGCACTGGCAAGTGCAACGCGCCTCATGTCGGAGAGCGACCGTGCCTCGTTCGCCGCTTTTGATGTAGAGTTTGTTGTAGAGATTTCACGTTGTAGAGCGCCTCTACATCGCTCTAGGTCGCTCTACAACGCACGCAGTTCGTCCCGCGGCGGATGTAGAGCTCTACAGCGCTACAGCGCTCTACAGCGCTCTACAGCGCTCTACAGCTCTACAGCTCTACAGCGCTCTACACTCTACATCCTCTACACCCTCCCTCAGGCTGCGACCTAGCGTGACCCGTCGCGTGGCGACCTAGCGTGACGTGCGACCTCGTGTCGAGCGATTGCGGTGTGCGGTTACGTCGGTGTGCCGGTTACGGTATGGTGTGCCATCCCCCCCCACAACACACAACACAACAATTCCTCGTCTTTTCTCCTGTCATGTAAATTGCAGTTATTTTTTGCTCGATATTTTTGCAAAATGACAGCTGCAGGATTCGAACCTGCGCCCTCGAGAGGACTACGACCTGAACGTAGGAAAAGTCTTGGGGACGTGCCTATGTCTTGATGCTTTGCTAGCCGGATTGTGTGCTTGTACGTACGTACTTTTAGCTTACTGGGAGAAAAGAGAGATGGGGTTGTGTTCTAGTCTCTCTCTCTCTGCTTGTAAACTTGACGTCCGTCCCCAGCCCTGCCATTCCTGCTTGCGGGCAGCGTCGAGGCGTACCGGGGCGTATCTGCGACAACACTCACTACGGAACGTCGCTGTGCGACGGCACCTTTTGGGGTGGTTCTGGACGGCGAGCGCATCTCGGGGACCATCCCTCCGCACACGATCAACAACGCCCGGGCGGGGCTGGCGAAACTCCACCTGGACAACAACGAGATCTCGGGGACCCTCCCTCCGACGACGGGCGAACTCTCAATTTTGCAGCAGCTTCGGCTGTCCAACAACGATCTCTCGGGCATCATCCCTCCGCACCTGGGCGGCATCTCGGGGTTGAACCAGCTTTGGCTGTACAGCAACAAGATCTCGGGCACCATTCCTCCGGGCAAGCTCTCGCTGCTGCAGCAGCTTTGGCCGTCCAACAACGAGATATCGGGCACCATCCCGCCCGAGCTGGGCGGCAACTGGAGCTGGGATATCTCTGCCTGTACAGACCTCTCCGGCACCGTGCCGTCGCAGCTCAACAACCTGCCGCTCACTGCCTGCAGGCTGGGCCGCAATCTCTTTGCCTGCCCCCTGCCCGCCCTTCCCGATTGCTGCCTCTCGAGCCGGTCGGCGGCTTCGAGTGCAACTAGCTGCCGCCGTTGCCGCCGCCCTCGCCGCCGCTGCCTCCGCCGCCGTCCAGGGAGATTGTCATCGGCACCACGGCAAAGCGCTGGGCGCAGATCCCGTCGATGCCGCCCTCGTACTCGAGGTTGGCGACACGCTTGTCTTCATCTACCAGCTGTGGGACTGCGACGTGTGGAGCATGCCCTCCAGCGCATGCGACTTTGCCGCTGCCGGGTTCGAGTACGGGCCATACCAGCTGGCGGGATCCTCCCACGGCGGAGGCACGGGCGCTGGAGCGTGGAACCGATTCGAGTACCCGATGACGGACGTGGGGACCTTCTACTTTGCGTCCCGCACCTACTGCAGCGAGAGCCAAAGGATCACCCTCTTCGTCAGCCACCGCCCCCCCGCCCCCACCGCCCACCTTACCCCGCCGCCCACCTTACCCCCGCCGCCGCCCTCGCCGCCTCGACACCGTCGCCGCTTCCCTGGCGGAGGCTTGGTGCGCGTTGACGGTAAAGTGAGCGGTGCGCCAGCCCGCGTCTCTGACCCCCTCTTCTCACTTTTCGTCGCCCTGTACTACGTAACACTGTAGGTTATGTAATTCCACAACAGTGCCGGCCTTAAAATGAGAAAACACCGTCCCAGAGGGGGTTCACACACGACGCATAGGATAGGACGCTCTGGCAAGAGGAGGGGAGGCCATGAGCCATGACAAGGCTACTGTTACTCTGGCACCCGTCCCTAGGCGGAGGCGGAGACGCGGGCGGAGAGCTGGGAGGCGGAGGCGGAGACGCGGGCGGAGAGCTGGGAGGCGGAGGCGGAGACGCGGGCGGAGGCAGAGGCGAACCCGGCGGCGGCGGCGGCGGCGAACGAGGGCAGAGGCGGCGACGTTGCTGCGTTATTGCAGAGGCGCTGTACGTTGCTGCCACTACATCCGTCGCCAACCCTTATGTCTCGCGTGCACCAAGAGCCGCATGGCCCCGTGCCAGCCTCCGCGAAGGCCTGAGTATTGTAGCACACCTGACCCTGAAAGTGTAATGACGGGAACTTGAAATCCGTGGGGCAGACCTCGGGGCCATCACCGTAGCCGCCAGGGCAACCGTTTTCTCTGGTAATGAGGCCGCCGCACCCATCCGTAGTGCAGCCTCCGTTACACACGTCACCACAGCACTTTTGGCCCGGCATGGTCCACGTTGGCCCTCCACAGCAAGACGACGGGGGCGGCGAAGGCGGCGATGCGGACGGGGGCGATGCAAGCGGTTCGCAGTACCCTTGCGGGCCATACGGTGTCGCCACCCCTTGCACGAGACGCCAGCCAGAAAGGCACTTGATGCAGGTTAGATATGCACATCTTCCCTGAACATACAAGCAAAAGCACGATTCCTCATCGCATCCACGGCTGCAGACACCGCCATCCGAGGCCGATCCGCCAAGAAGGTTGGATGTGAACGGCTGTCGTCCTTCGTAGCCTGGTAAGTGGGCGAATGCCGTGCCCCTCGCTGTCGGATGGTCCTCTTCCAGACTGGGGGTATCGAGCGTGTTCGTGACGATCTGTGTGCAGGCGCGAGCGTTAGCGCCACCACGCTGCTACCAACGCTCTTGCTGCTGCTACTGCTGCTACTGCGATGAAGCGTTACACGCTGCTGCTGCTACTGCGATGGGGGGCGCACCGGGTGCGCGCCGGTACCCTTCAGTGCACCAGCTGCAAAGCATGCAAGAAGAAACCAGACACCTGCGTAGGGAGGTGACAATGGTGCGGTGAGGGGCGATACGAGGCTCTGCGGATACACGGGAGCGTACCGCCCATCCTTGACAAGGCCCTGCAACCTGCACGGCGAGGGCGGGAGGAGCGGGGGTCAAAGTTGGGAAGTGTGGGTCTGGGGTCAGTACTAGTACGGTGCAATGGAGGCCGGCTAAGTGGCTGCTCTGGGTGGCTGCTGGGGCAGCAGCGGAGGGCGCGAAGCAGCGAGTAGCGACCAGATGCAATCCAAAGTACCCGGGTAGGAGTGAGCCGACCACTGGCGCGCGGGCGGTCGCTTGTAGCTGTGGTGCGGGAGCTATGCTGGCCATTTGGCGGGGGGCGGACCGGTTGGCGCTGTGGAGTATGTGTCGATCTGCGCGACTGGTTGGGACCGGGCAAACTTACGACGAGTCGACGGGCGGCGTGGACGCAAAAGGTATGCCGAAAATGCCGAAAGCGCCCGCCGTCTATTTCCTTGGTGGCGGGGTGGGCCCCTGAGCCCTGACACAGCTGCGATACCCAGGGACGACGGAAGGCATGAACTTTCTCTTTTCTTTGTAAAATTTGTTTGTAAAATTCTCTTTTCTCGATCGACTCGTCCATTCTTTCTTCACGACGAGTAACCTGGTTTGTGGAGGAGCTGAAACAGCTGAGGTGGGCCGCGACCCGCGAAGCATATACACACGTGTTGGGGTTTGACTTTTCATGTTCGCACAGCGGCCCGCGGAGAGCTACTCCAACTCTGTCAGGGTGGAAGGGATCCCGAGCGGGAGCGGGGTGCGTCCCGCCGCCGGTGGGTACGAGCGGCACGCCGGCGGGGGGCCGGGGGAGAAGGGGTGCGACCCGTCGGGCGGCGGGCCTCGCACCGTGCCGTCGAGCAGCAAGGCGAGCATGCCCACAAGGTGGCTCGAGCAGCAGCCGGCGAGCAGCGCGAGCAGCGGCAGCAGCCACACGCGGGCGAGCGCGGCGGCGCGCGGCCAGGTCGCCGCCTGCGGCCACCGCGCCCCTCGTCGCCACTGCCGGCGGCACGAGCGGGAGCAGGAGCGGGCGGAGGTGCTGGCGGAGGTGTGCAGCGAGAGCAGCGACACGCGCGCGCGCGCCCGGCCGCGGCGCGCAGCGGCGCGCAGCCACGCGCCGACGAGCATCCGGGCCTGCAGGTAGTACTTGTGCAGCGCGGCGAGCAAAGCCCCTTCCGCGGGGCCGGTCGCGGCGGCGGGACCGCCGTGCGCGCCGCTGTGGCGCACCGGGGACCCTTCTCCGTCGGCGGGGTGGGGGGCAGCCAGGGCGACGCGCTGTGAGGCCGAGGCGGCGCCGCCGCCGCCCGCCGACGCCGCCGCCGCCGAGGTAGCGAGGTCGAGGCTTCTCCCCCCCTCGCCCGCCCCGTCCGGCGCGTGCGCGGCATGCTCGCCGCTAGCCAGCTGCAGGAGGAGGGGGAGGGCGTCCGAGGAGTAGGCCGCCTTGAGCTCCGAGACGGTGCCTGGGGGCCGGATGTGGGGAGATGTGGCGGAGATGTGGCCGAGATGTGGTGTAGATGTGGGGGAGA